TTGCAATATAAGGAATAATTATAAACAGCAATATAAGGAATAATTATAAAATTGTATATTCAAAAGATTTGCGGTTCATCCGAATCGTTCGAGAGCTCGTATTGAATTGCTTGTCCGCCTTGCCTGCCGATCATCGTTCTTTGTCATAAGACTGTAGTCTTATCTTTTCTAGCGATCATTGGCGTTTATGTTATGTGTATACTTCTCCTATTGGGTTCTATGTATATACTACCGAATTTCTTTACAGCAAGTTTTAAGATATCATTGAAAAAAAGACGTAATTTAAATTTTCTATGGTGGATTTCCAGCTATGAAAGAAATTCTCAATATTTTTAAAAACGTTTGAAATTTTACAAATTTCGAGAATAAAAATTTCTTCCATTTCTCACTTGTTACATAATATAAAAATATCTTCAAAAAAATAATAGTTCAAGGTGAGCAGAAGTTTTATATTTTAAAAAGAATTCAAGTAAAGTGTAACATGATTCTTTTTACAAAGTTATAATAAGATTTGTATTTTTAATTATTCTAAAAATTATCCGGGTGAGAGTATTTGACATTTCGGAGTTGAATCTCATCGGATAATTTTGATCGAGCTGACTCGATACTTGACTCTAAGCAATGAACAATCATGCATTCACCTATTTTGCTAATTTCATCATTTCATGGACAGGACCGATCGATGGAACAAAAATGTGGCAACCATGTTCAATTTTTAGATTTGGCAACTATGTTTCCATCAAGAAATCCTAAACTGTTCCTTTAATTCGCTTTCCATTTGTTATTTTGCACAATCGTAACGAAAGCAATTAGAAAGAATTCAATGAGAATAAGCCGTACTCAATGAAAATGAAGGTGGTGTGTGTAATGAATGATGAGGTTGGTGCAAGCAATGATCGACACATTTTGTTCGTACAACTCTTTTATTTCGTCTCACTCGTAAACTGAGCTTAAGCCTTATCTTACACGCTCCGGTGAAAATCTGTAGTCCCGTTCTTCGT